CAACCTATCAGTTCTCTCCAGTGCAGTAACAAAATTGACAGGCTAGGAGCTCCGGGGCTGGGAGAGAGGGTTCCAATCTCAGGCCCTCCCAACAGCCCTGGAGGAAACGCTCTTGGGTTTTTGCCTCTACTTGATGACACAGCTGGGAGGCCAGACACAGCTCAAGGCCTAGAAGCTCTTCACACCCCTGCCTCAGAGTCAAGTTCAGTTCCTCCCACCCTAGATCACACACCAGCTCCAGAGGACCTGAGGCCTTTTCCTGGCCTCCTCAGGCACCAGCACACATAACTACAAAAAACACACACAAACAACAAAACAAATGCCCACCAACCTGGTTCTCTTAACTGGGAACCTTGCTCTTTCTTCTTTGCTGTCTATGTGAAAGACACACAGGATAACATTTTCATTGCTCAAAATAAAAGCAATTGCCTTATATTGCTACTTGTATCAAGAAAAGAACTGCAGATGAGAAAAATCTAGCTTAGTAGAACACTTTCTCTATATTACTTGGCTTTATTAGACTTGTACTTACGCCACAAAATACCTTCAGGTTGCATTTATGTCTATAAAGCTTTAAAGTTATAACCTATTTTCAAAATGGCAAAATAGGTTGCTTAAAGAACTTTGGCCTGATCTTTACCTCTTCTCTTTATGTTCTGAATTCGATGGATAATTGCTCGCTTTTGGCTATACAGAAACTGCATGTCTATTTCCTGAAAAATACCAATTAAGCTGCCATCGCAGCTCCTCCAATGCTATCTGCTGGTCTTCGGTGTCAAAGGCCTGAGAACAAATGGCCGGAAGGCCGAGTCTGAACAGCCTCTGACAGGGCGCCAACTCTGAGCAGTCACACTTTAGCTTCAGCTTGAGCTTTCTGCTTTGCCAGAAAGCGAGAGAGAAATAACACATCAACTTTATAATGCCACACAAATGCTAAAGGTCACGGCAAAAGTGATGCTTTTCCAGGAGACTAATCACTTTCAAAGGTCACTAACATTGTTTTAAAGGAAGGCCTCCCCTACCAATCTATTCAGTCTGGATTTCTGTACAGAGCTAAAGAAAGGTTTTCAACAGAACAAACGCTGCACTTTGCCTTCGCATCATTTCTTGGGCGCTAACATCAGTTTCTGTGTGTGTGGCAGGAGAGGGAGAGTTTGTGTGCACCAATGCTTATTCAGCCTCACAGCAACACTATGAAATTAAAAATACTGGTCAATGAGGAAGTGAACTCAAGGGGCATTGTGACGTGCACAAGGCCACAGCTGAAGCCATGAGTTCCAAGACTCAACACTTCTGGCTTCCTTGGCTGCACGGCTTCCTTCAGTCATCCTGGGGGAGGCCTCAGTCATTCTCTTTCAGCTCTGACTCACCGCAGTGGTTATTAACCTTGGCTGTAATTTAATATTTTAAAAAGACTTCTGCATGAGTGTGATTTAAACATCCTGGGGAAGAGCGTGGTAATTAGCATTTTCCAATAGTGACTTAAAGAGACACCTTGCCTCTTTAGGGTGTCTGAATTCTGATTGTGCTTAGGTAGCTCCTGGGACAGTCACAATAGGAACTGGTCATGAGAGAACCACATGATACATCCTGAGTCTTCAGACACTTCAGTGTGGGCCACTCAACTGTCTGTGTCATGAAGGGGCACCAAGACCAGCCAGAGCCAGCAGGAGGGAACAGAACCTATGACGATGGCAATGGGGTATGACAGGGAAAGAAGGGGTGCTGGAGCCAGCACACCTGAGTTCAGGCTGCAGTGCTGCTCTTCAGCAACTCTGTGAACTCTGGCCAGTCACTTATCTTTTGGTTTGCAGACTCGAGAGGGTCCAGTCCTGTGAAAGGACAAAGCCAAAGGCAGCTGCTGCTGGGAGTTTTGCTGTTACTGCTACAGTGACAAGGACTACTGCCAGGGGCATTGGTAGATTAAAACAAACTTAAAAAGCTTTTTTTTAAAAAATCACTTAGCATTTGACTCTTGGGTATTTATATTTGCCATTAGTTTGGCAATTCTAGTTCTCAGCCTAGCCAATTAGGAGAGAAGGCGAGAGTTACTCTTTCCGTTTCCATCAGGTCCATCCAGAGTTTCTACAAGTCTGTGATGGAAGGCACCTCCAATCACGTGCATTAGTTCCCTGTGAAAATGGTTTTCAACACAGATAGCAAGAACAGGAAAGAAGAATTAACAAGCAGCCCCACTAACATCTGAACAATCACTTCTGAACATTAAAGTCCTGACAAATGGGTTCCAATCTAAATAAAAGTGTTGGATAGGGCTGAGAACAAAAAGGAATAAATACATTGTCTTTACCCTCATCCAGTTATGAAATGACTGACATGGATTAGAGATTTCTTCTAGAAATGTGAACTGAAGACTGTTTGACCTCTTCCATAATGGCTTTCACGTTGAAACAATTGGATGTGCCCTGCGTATTTTTCTCTTGAATCATAACTACAGAGTAGAAGGGGTCACGGAGGGAAACAGAGTCACTGGTTCTCAACCAAAATTTCCAGGAGGACCCTGAACTCTATGCAAGGCCTGAATTCTAAGCATGGCCTGAGCACACACAAGAGAGTAAAGGCGTGGCTGTTGTGTATGCAGAGAATCTGGGTGAAGCACAAAGGGCATGGAAGCACCCAGGGTTCACAGCTACTGTGGCCTGCGGGCTGATGGGGCACTCCACTGCTCTCGTTGCCGTTGAAGGGTTAGAGAAGAGCATCAGTCCAGACGCTGGAGGCAACTCCCTCCCAGTGTGGGTGTTTCCTTTCCACACTGCCCCACCTCACACTCGGCATGCAGACCTCTGGCGTGAGCACTCTAGCACTGCAGTTCCCTTCTAAAGGGTGGGCACAGACCCCCTCTCGCCATGTGTGTGCCAGGCCTGAGCCTCTCCTGCTCATTCAGGAAGTCTTTTAACTGGGCCACTCTGGTGGGCTGTAATGGCCTAGAGCACAGGGACTTTCCAGGGAGTTTCCCAGCTCTGACACCAGTGTTCCGATGGCTCATGTTCGGGGTGAAGCCGAGATGTCGTCTAACTTCAGTGCTCTGGAGTAGTTTCCAGAACAAGGCAAACAGTGAAGAAACGTTTATCGACTGAATGGCAGAAGTTGGAAAGGGGCCACTTAGGTTTCTTTGGCCTCAAAGTTTCACTTTGGAGAAGATGAAGAGTCAAGAAAACACCTTAGTTGCTAATGACCCTTCCCTCTAACATACTCTAATTTTCAGTCATAAAGGTGACTCACTTAAAGAAAATGAGATGCTACTAATCTATGAAAAGCTTGCTGTGACCCCCCCGCCCCCAGGAACAGCAGGATTCAATGCTGGAGCCTACCCTGTCAGACCATCCTGCACTCAGGCACACACCCGACATGGTCCCAAGTTTCTGGCCTAGCCTTTGGGACCTGGAGTTTCTCTTTGTTGCTCTAAGCTAATTTTGTGTGTTTCCTGTTATAGCTCCTGCCCTCCTCCTGTGTCCTCAATCTCTCCCTCTGTAGAGCTCAGCTCCTATTTCAAGAAGACTCTGTCCCCATTTCCCTCCGCCAACACCTCCATTCTTTACATCACTACACTGTGAAGACACCGTCTGTCTTCAGCCCTCCTTTTCTCTGGGAAACACGAACTTGAGCTGGTGCACATGACCCGCCAAGGCCCTAGATGTCTCCTTTACAACTCTAGAACACTACACTAACTAACCCCAAGTCCTCTCAGCCCTCCAACCTCCATCGTATCACCTAGGCCTATCCATCCTTTCTTTACATTATTTCTCCTCTATCTTTTCCCAGAGGCAAGTTTACCATTCAATCTTTCTACATCATTCTCTACCTGGATTTACTGCTTTCTGTAGAACCAGACACACATCAGCCCTGCCACGGGAGCCAGCCAGCCACTTCGATCTTGCCCATTCCATACTTTTAGAAACACCTCACTCTTGCACAATGGTATTCTGATCCTCTAACAATTTCTCTACAGGCTAAATATCCATCCCTGTTTCTCATTTCTGAAGCAGAGGACTTACTAGTCACCTAACCCCAAAACAAGTGTCAGGTATGTGTTTACTTGTGATGTATTATGTGCAGAATCCATTCACTCATTCGGTAACTATTTACTGTACATCTGATCTATTAGGGAGCATAGTGACGTCGTGGACGCAGTATTGTAAGACACACAAGCCCTGTCCACATGCAACACAGAAGCCAGTGGGATAGCGAGGGAAGAAGCTGTTGCACAGTGGTCCAGTCTCCCCTTAAAATAGTAAATGAGGGCTGAGGACACAGCTCCACTGGCAGAGGGCTTGCCTGGCATGCCTGAAGACCAAGGCTTTCTCCTTGGCATGAGGCCCCATGCCTGTAATCCCAGAACTCAGGAGGCAGAGGCAGAAGGACTGGGAGTTCAAGGTCATCCTCCATCACAAAGCCAGTGTGAGGCCATCCTAGGGTGGCCTAGGATGTGAGACCAAGTCTCACATTTAAAAAGGAAAAAAAAAATTAAATGAGGTCTGGAGATAGAGCTCAGTGGCTGCACCCAGGTGTCAGCCCCAGAGACCCAAGCTGGGCACAGGAAGAATGAAAAGAGAAGAGTCAAATGGGCCAGCCCAAGGGCTGAGATCTGTGGTCCAGGGTTCAATCAGGCAAGAAGTTCAGAAAAAAAGAACAGGCTGCTGGTGGTGAGAATGTAAAGCAAAGCTTTCCCTAACACACAGGACTTAAGCTACACATGCCAGAAGGGGAGAGGGAGGTGCCTTCCACGGGAGGTGGGGGGGCACGAGCAAGGGCACGGAAGAATGAAAGCAATGGAACACCGTGGGCTCTTCTCATCCAAAGGTCCCTTAAAAACCTACTGTCAGCGGCTAGCTCTGCAGTGGACAGCAGGATGGGCGACTCTGCTCTACTTCCACCCTGAGGACTTACAGCCAGGCGGGGGGGTGGGGGTAGGGGTGGGTAGCGCCTGGGGAGTCCAGAGCGGCCAGGAGTGGATCTGGGTTACATAACAGTACTTACAGAATCAGGTATTTTATTCACCCACATCCACAGTACATCTACGGAAAACAACTGTTCCCAAATGTTTCTCTCTCTGGGGTATTTTAAGTCTGTCTGTTGGGCAGACTGAGCAGTGGAGGCACAGATCTCTCAAGCAACCCGTTTCCGGTCGGGAACATAAACAGGCCACAGCGAAACGAGAACACCCTGCCCGTCTCGGCCCAGTACGGCACCATCGAAGAATCTCGAGCACCGCGAGTTCTACCGCTGCGTTTGATACCTGACGATCACACCACACAGGGCACCCTCTGCGGAGACCAAGACCCCAGGACCTTCTTAGGTGCTGCTTCTGCATCGCCCTACACCCGTCCTGCTGCCTACTCTGGGTTTTCCTCGCAGACGTCCCCGTCAGTGATCCCCGCCCCCCGCCCGAGGGCGTGCAAAGCTGTTTCTGAGAGAGCATCAGCAGGCCAGCAGCAAGCACACAGCGTGGGTTGGAATGGATGCGTTCTAGGGCCGGCGCGGCTCAGGAAGGGCACCCTGGGCTCTCGCATCCCTCTCCTCGTGACTGGAAGAGTCGAGGAGCGCCTGGTCACAGCTGGAAGTAGCGGGCACCGCGCCCCAACTTCTGCAAAATGAACTCAAACAATCGTTAAATGTTTCCCCGTCCGGAACACCGTCGGAGGAGCAGTGGCCATCGGGCTGAGAGAGGCGGCCCAGGAAGCACCGAGGGAAGACGGAATGCGGACGGACAGGGGTGGAACTCTAACGGAGAGCAGAGGTTCCTGCCGGTGAGGGCAGGAAGCCTCGCGAGATCTAGGGGTCCGGATCTCGCTGCGTTGCCTAGCGACACGAGGACGCTGGCGGGCCCCCTGGAGAAGCCCGCGGCAGCCCTGAGTCTCACCATGGGGGAAGAAGGCGGCGGCCGCAGCTGTGGGGTCCCTAGGGACCTGAAGAGGCTGAAGCAGCAGGCGATGGCGTACTACCAGGAGAACGACGTGCCGCGCAGGCTGGAAGAGCTGCTCAACACCACCTTCTACCTCCAGCCTGCAGACGTCTACGGGCACCTGGTAGGGACCTGCGCCGAGCGCCCTCCCCCGCCCCGGCCCACGCTGCGGCAGCGCACTGCGTCTGCGCTTGAGGTCGCGCCTGCGCGCTGTGGGAAGGGAGGGTACCACTCAGCCGGGCGCCTAGCGACGGCGCGGAGAGGATGCGGGCGGATACGGGTGGGGATGCTGGAGGGCCGCGGGGGAACCGGGGGGACCGCCGAGGGTGCCCGGAGGAAGCGAAGCTTGAGGCTCTGTGGCCCGGGAGCCTGGCGCGGGTCTGTACTATCCGAGGAGCCTGCCTGCCTGCCTTTTGTTTTCTAAAGCACACACCTGACGCCCGCCGAAGTGGGCAGGGACCCAGGTTGGACCGCGGAATGAACGCCGCCGGGGCTGTGACTTGGCCGCAGCCCAGCCCGGGGTCTCGTTCCACCGGCTTCCCCTGCCTCCAGATTGCTCGGATTCCAAGCCTGACCGCCTGCGTTTGCAAACCTTACACCCTGCTTTGGCTAGGTCCCCAACTTCACCGGCCTACGCTGCCCACGTGACTAGACTAAGTGTCCTTGAGTTCTCCCAGGGCCAGGGCTGCCCTTCTGTTACCTGTTGGTTGATGAGCTACTGCTGTGTGTCAGAGTTGCCTTGGGGGAAGAAGGTACTTGGGGTACCACTCTTTGCTAGCGCACTCTCTAGAAACTCTACCAAGGTTAAAACGAAGCAAGAAACCACTTCCCCTTCTCTAACGGATTTAAGTGATTTACCCCAGGGGATACTTTGCACTATCTGTGGAATGGGTGACTGAAGGCTTAATAGGGGTTTCAGTCGCCACCCTCTCCTGCTAAGGGAGCTGTTGCCTGGTCTCAATTTTAAAAGGACACCCAGCCCGGGCTCCGGGTACTTGGCGTTTTCTCCTAGTCTGTGAGGCCTTGGGGCACTTGTTGGCGCAGCTCCCTGGGAACTCGCACACCTTAGTTAGGGACCGCCCTAGTTTGCTTTCTGTTGCTCTTCTACACCCTTCTGACCCAAAGCAACTTAGGGAGGAAAGGGTTTCCTTGGGTTAGGTTTCTGTGCTACAGTCCACCACTGAGGCAGAGCCTCGGGCAGAAGCCACGGAGAAGTGCTGCTTACTGGTTTGCTCCCGCGGCTGGCTCAGCCTGCTTCTTAATCCTCCCTGGTCAACCCGCCTAGGGGTGGCGCCACCCATAGTGGGCTGAGCCCTCAGACATCCGTCTTGGATCCCTTCCAAATGACTTCTCTGCCACTTAAAGGAATTGTGATTACTAAGACTCCCAAGAGGATGCTTGGAGTTAGGCAGCACTGCATCGGCTGACGAAGGGCGTGACTGTCATTGTCCTTTGCTGTCACTGGGGAAAAGGCAGGTGCCTGCCTGGGGGTGGGATGAAAAAAACACCCCCCTCCAGATTTCTTAAATCTGAATGCATCACAGTGTTGTAGAGACCAGTGGCTTCCATAACCTTGGAAGACATATCAGGGAGTTAGTTGACTTGCCACAGAAAGGCCTGCTAAAGAGTGACGGCAGGCCTGTGGGGTGAGGTGGTCTGTGTATTCCTGATGAGTGGTAAGAATCCGACACTTGGCCCCTCGTGCCAAGACTCAGCATGGCTGGGGTGTGGGGCTAACCAGATCCAGGTAGGACACGTGGGAGAGCTTTTTGTAGGATGTGCCTGGCCTTGTAGAGTCAATGTGATTCACTACTTTTTGTTTCTGTGCATTCATTAAAGGCAAACTACTTTTCTAAGCTTGCGAAGCCGCCCTCCATCTGCAGAGTCGTGGGGAAAATCGTGCTGGATGGGCTGGGCTTTCCCACGCTGCAGGTGGACATCTCTTGCACGGTTCAGAACTTCCCCAAGGTACGAGGCGCATGGACTCTGTCCCTTAGTATGCCCTGCCCGGCTTTGTACATTAGCAAGAATCATCTAAATTGCAGAAACAATGTTTTGAAATTCAGTATTTATGACATGTATACATGCACACTGCTGTTTAGTCATAGGTATTGATAAAAGCTTGACTCAGGCAATCAGCAATGCTGCGTGCATGGCTTTGGTCAAAGACATGATGTGCCGACCAGAAAACAATCCCGGGGGAGAAAGGAGATGAGACAAAAACACCTTTAATATTACGTGTTTGAGATATGTAGAGTAACAATTTAAGTAAAGAAAAGTGTTTAGATAATTCTGAAGGCTGGGTATGATGGCATACTCCTGTAACTTCAGCACTCTGAAGATGGAGGCCAGGAGGGTCAGTACCTCAAGGCTTTCTTCTGTTATCCATAGTGAGTTCAAGGCCAGCCTGGACTACATGAGACTGTAGCTCAGGAAAACAAAAGTTTTTAAAAGTTTAAATTTATTAAAAAATTAAATTCAAAAATTGAAAAGAATTTAACAGTTTAATTCATGTTGTTAACTACTTGTTACAAATAAAATTGTCACAGTCTCTGAGAGGAGAATAATTCTGAGTAAATCTGTAGCTAATTTTCTGGAGAAGTAGTAATAGGGAAAGCTCTATGTGGGAATTTTTTTTTACCAGTGTTTTAACAAGAGAGTAATTTGAAGTGTTTCATGAAGTCAACTTTCTTCAGTGTTTCAACAGATATGCAAACATAGTGGGGAAATGTGTATTGTTCCCTCCTGAGGTTGGAGATAAATTTCCACTAATGTGAATTGCTAGCTCAAGTCAACTCTCTGTCTTCCGGGAGAGGGGGAAAGTGTGGGACGTTTGTGTCTTTGCCAGTACATCTGCTCCGTGGTGACGCCTGTGCACTTTGAAGTCCTGGAGAACGCTTTGCCAGACGTGGTGGACGCAGAGGAGATGGAGAGGGCGCTGGCCGTGAGCACAGCTCTGCAGTGGGTCAATGAATCTTTCACAGAGGAGCTGTGGGGTCTGGTCCCCTCCAACCAGGAAGAGGTGGACCACAGGCTCAGGTACAGCTTCACAGCTGCCAGGTGTAAATGCCGTGCGTGCTCTTTCAGCTGCGTGGCCCTCGGAGCAGCACTTCTTAGACGTCCCATTTTCCCCAAGGCACTTAACATTGCACACATGAGCAGGAGCTAGTAAAGGCCAGGGCTCAGCACAGCTCTCCTCCTTAGTCTCCCTGTATTCTGAGACAAGGATTCTGCCTTAAGCTGGAGCTCTCTGGTTCAGCTGGGCTGGCCAGCGAGCCCCTTTGTCTCTGCCTGCGCAGTGCTAAGGTTACAGGCGTGCACCACCGTGCCTGGCCTTCCACGTGGGTGCTGGAAGCTGACCTTGGGCTCTGCATGCGTGCACGGCCAACCCTGGCTATCCTATCTCCCCAACCCTGGAGCTTTCTATCCATAGACATGAAATCGTTATACAGGTCAAACATTACTAAGAACAATCACTCTTTGGTATATAGTTCTACGGTTCATTAAAGACTAAAGCAGATTTACACACTGAGATGGATGTGTTTTTTTACATTTAGAATTGAATCTTGCTGAATACTTGATACTGCAAGACACAGACAACCTTTAACTTTTTCAGAGTTGATCGACGTTTTCACTTATACATTCATTTTGTGTGCATGAGGGTGTGTGTGTGTGTGGGACTGTGCACCACGTGCTGCAGCAGCTCTTGCGGAGGTCAGAAGACACCTTGCCGGAGTGAGTTCTTTCCTCCCTCCATGCTGAGTTCCAGGCTGACACTCAGGCTGTCAGGCTTGGAGACAGGCTTTGCCTGCGGGGCCACGCTGCCATCCCCAGGGTCCATCGACATTTGCCTTTAAGATAGTCACAGCAGAGGGGGCTGCTCTGCAGAAGTGCACAGAATACTCGGTTCAAACACCAGAGTCCTGTTTGTAGCAGTATCAGAAATTGTTGGAAATTCTGTCCTAATCATAAACCAAAATTCATTTAACTACATTTTTTTTTACCTTTAAAATCTTTTAAAGATTTACTTATTTCCGTTTATGTGTATGAGCTTTCTGCCTGCATGTATGTGTGTGTGCATATATGTGTGTGTGCTGCGTGTGTGTCTGGTGCTAAAGGAACCCGAAAAGGGCATAGGCTCTCCTGGGGTTGGAGCTCCCTGATGCTGCTATGGTTCCTATGTGTGGTGACCCCAACCACAGAATTATTTTCAGTGCTACGTCATAACTGTCACTTTGCTGCTGTTACGGATCACGCCTGTGTGTTCCAGCAGTCGCACGTGACCTCTGTGAAAGTGCTGTCCGACCCTCTGCGGTCTTCACGAGAGCGGCACCCTCTCTCAGCTGCTGGATCGCCTCCTCAGCCCCCTCAGCTGGCAACTTTTTATTAAACTCAAGTCAACAACTCAAGCAGCAATTTAAAAAATCAAACGTTCTAACAGTGCAACCCAGAGACACTAATTCACCATTTATCTGCTGGGGAAGATGATAGAGGTTTTTGTTTTACCTAATTAAACCATGATGTGAGGTCCTGAGGGCCGCGCGTCTCTTCTATACAGAGCTCCCTCAACTCATCAAAGAACTTTGTCAGGGTAAAGATTGGTTCATGGGTCCAGAGACTCCTTTCCCCAATGTGAGGCCATCTCTGAGCTCTTCAGACCTGTCCCCAGGGACACGGTGGCCGTTGCTTTCATTTTGCCCTCCAGCTAAAACCAAGTCTTAGACTGTTAGGCCAGATTACACTTTTTTTTTCCTTTTTTAACAGATTACACTTTTTTAACTCTTAAAATCGAGAGCCAAGTAGGGCTGAGGAAGTGTCCTTCACTGCCACGCTAAGTACAGGGGTCAGAACCACCTCTCTGTGCAGGTGTAAGCCTCCACCCCCAGACAGGCAACGGCAGCTGCAGCCTCTCACGTTTAATCACTCAGCCATGAGCAAAGCCATGTTTTTTTTGCCCCAGAGTTGGATAATGAACTTGGGGCAGCCGGCCATTGAAAAGCATTTTTTTTTTTTTTTGGTCTTCTTGAATTAAGTGAGACATCCTTACTTTGGATTTTTTGGTCACAGCTTCTGCTTTATTGCATCCTTTTTCTCCTGGACTTTCCCCCTTAAACCTCCTGTCTGGACTGATTCATGTTCTTCTGTTTCTGGATCCTTTTTTCCCCTTTATCTTAATCTCTTTTTCCTCCATAGAGGGAGAGAATGATGGAAATGGAGACAGGGAGAGGGAGAAAATGAGGGAAGGAGGGAGAGAGATAGACAGAGAGAGAGGGAGAGAGGAAAAGAAGCAGAAGGAGAGGGAGAGAGAGATGGGGAGAGAGAAGGATGGTTGGAGGGAGAAAGAACTTTTGAAAAGGATGAGAAAGGATGTGGGTGCAGTATTTTCAAATTCTTTCTCTTTTATTTCTTTTTTAATTTAATTTTTATTTTCATTAATTACAGTTTATTCACTTTGTATCCCACCTATAGCTCCCTCTCTCATCCCTTCACAATCCCTCCCACCCTTCCTCTTCTCCACCCATGCCCCTTCCCCAGTGCACTGATAGGGGAGGTCCTCCTCCCCTTCCATCTGACCCTAGCCTATCAGGTCTCTTCAAAACTGCCTGCATTGTCTTCCTCTGTGGCCTGATCTGGCTGCTCTCCCCTGGGGGGGGGGGGGGGAGGAGGTGATCAAAGAGCAGGCCAATCAGTTCATGTCAGGACAGTCCCATTACTAGGGAAGCCACTTGGACACTGAGCTGCCATGGGCTACATCTGTGCAGGGATCCTAGGTTATCTTCATGCATGGTCCTTGGTTGGAGTATCAGTCTCAGAAAACACCTCTGTGTTCAGATTTTTTGCTTTTGTTGCTCTCCTTGTGGAGCTCCTGTCCCCTCCAGGTATTTCTATCTCCCCCTTCTTTCCCAAGATTCCCTGCGCTCTGCCCAAAGTTTGGTTATGAGTCTCAGCATCTGCTCTGATAGCCACAGGGTAGTCTTTCAGAGGCCCTCTGTGGTAGGCTCCTGTCCTGTTCCCTGTTTTCTCCCTCTTCTGTCTTTGTCTTTGTCATCCTCTTTGTCTTTCTGAGTGAGGATTGAGCATCTTACCCAAAGTCCTCCTTCTAGATTAGCTTCTTTAGGTTTACAGATTTTAGTATGTTTATCCTAATGTTTATCCATTAGACATTATATGTCTAATGTCCACTTATAAGTGAGTATATGACGTGTGTATCTTTCTGCTTCTGGGATACCTCACTCAGGATGACCTTTTGTAGTTCCCACCATTTGCCTGAAAATTTCATGATTTCCTTGTTTTCAATTGCTGAGTAGTATTCCATTGTGTAAATGTATCATAATTTCTGTATCCATTCCTCAGCTGAGGGGCATCTGGGTTGTTTCCAGCTTCTGGCTATTATGAATAAAGCTGCTATGAATGTGGCTGAGCAAATGTCCTTGTTGTATACTTGAGCCTCTTTTGGATATATGCCTAGGAGTGGTATAGCTGGATCTTGAGATAGCACTATTCCTAATTGTCTGAGAAAGTGCCAGATTGATTTCCAAAGGCTATACAAGTTTACATTCCCACCAGCAATGGAGAAGGGTCCCCTTTCTCCACATCCTCTCCAGCATGTGTTGTCACTTGAGTTCTTGATCTTAGCCATTCTGATAGGTATAAGGTGAAATCTCAGGGTCATTTTGATTTGCATTTAGTTGATGACTAAGGACATTGAGCATTTCTTTAAGTGTTTCTCTGCCATTTGATATTCCTCTATTGAGAATTCTCTGTTTAGCTCTATACCCCATTTTTAAATTGGATTACTTGATTTGCTGCTATTTAACTTCTTGAGTTTTTTATATAGTCAGGATACTAGCCCTCTGTTACATATAGGGTTGGTGAAGATCCTTTCCCAATCCGCAGACTGTCATTTTGTTCTGACGACAGTGTTCTTTGTCTTACAGAAACTTTTCAGTTTCATGGGGTCCCATTTATTGTTGATCTTAGAGCCTGAGCTGTTGGTGTTCTGTTCAGGAAGTTGTCTCCTGTGCCAATGAGATCAAGGCTCTTCCCCACTTTTTCTTGTAACAGGTTTAGTGTGTCTGCCTTTATGTTAATCTTTGATCCACTTGGACTTTAGTTTTGTCCTGGTCCAGCCTCACAGCCTACACCTGTCTGGTCCCAAATGGTTCTGCAGAACCCAGACAGTGACCGACACAACTGCTCCTCTCAGCCTCCCTGGGTCCCCTAACAATGACACCCCAAAGTCAGCAGGAAATAGCCAGAGAGAACAACGCCCACTTACCCAGCACCCAGCGACCCAATAATAAGACAGGATGGTGGGAATGAAGGGACTCTGAGCCTCTCTGTCTCCTGTCTGTCCCTTATCCCTGCCGTCTGTCTCTCTGGGGCAAATAAATCTCTGTGCTGAGAATTTGCTCATTGGCATCCAGAGCTAATGGCAATCTTATTGATTAGATTAACTAACAGAATTATTAATAAGTGTAATATAAATCTCTTCTGACTCCCATAGAATGTCTTTATGGTTTGTTTTTTTTTATTTTTATGTTTTTGGAGGCTGTTATTGTTTTATTTGATAGGGAGAGGTCATAAAATGTTGTGAGGTTGTGTCTGTTGGGACTTTCCCCAATGTTTTTTAATTTTTTAATTTTTAATCATGCTTATATCACATCACACGCACGCACCTGCCTCTCATCTAAAGGAAAAGGGAACTTGTTGGGTTGTCACCCACCATCAGGCACCTCACAGCCACCTGTAAGCTCAGATTCTGGGGAGTTCAGACACCTCCGGCCTTCAGGGGGACCTGCACACCCACAGGGCGCACATGGGTGCGCAAAAGAAATCCCCTGACAAGGGAAACGGAAAAGATATCTTTACAGCACTGTTTTCACTACGGCTTCTTGAATGGTTTGGCTTCTGAATGTCATTGATATAAAAAGGAAATCCAGTCACCGTAATCATATTATGTCTTCAACTTTTATTTTGAGAGTATAAAAAGTAACTTAAATGATGAGCAACTCAAAAGCACCGCTTTTCATGAAAAATGAATTTGATTCTTGAAAAAAAAAGTTTTAACACCACCATTTACTTTTATTAACCATGGAAATTAAAGGTAATTTGTTCTTTATTAGCATAAAAATCCTATTATTGAAACATATCAGGGTTAGCTATGAAACATGACAGTGCATTGTAAAGCCCTGTGTTTCCTGCCTTCAGGGTCTTCTTTGAAAATAAAGTACAAGAAGATAAAAAGAGAAAAGAACTGGAGAGGAGTCAAGAGGAGCCTGTGCAAGCACCCCAAACTGTAATTCCACCCCCCCCTCCTCCACCTCCCTCTAAGAAAAAGGGGCAGAAGTCAGGTGAGTGGGTCACTGCTTCCTGACACCTTTGGTTGCACAGACAAGAGGAGGAAAGTGCCTGGGCTCTTTTCACAGGTGAACACTTCCTGAATAAAATGCATTTGACGGTGTCAGTGGGGAGGGGCAGAAGGAGATGGGGGAGGGCAGAATTTGCACCTCCTTGAAAGTTTCCGTGGGGCAATCAAAAAAGCCATCTCATAATAAGAAGTCTGCTTTGACAGAAGCAAGTTTTGTTGGTGTCTCTACCTGTTAATCCTGAGACTCACAAGGAGAAAAGGTCAAATCCGCGACTGTCCAGGTAAAGGAAGCTGTGCACCCAGGACTCACCGTCTAAGCTGGGGTCCGGGAGAGCAGCCCCTGCTGGCCTCTGAAAGGGCCTTTTACAGCAGAGACAAGGTGTTAAAGGGGCAAGAGAGTCAGCTGTTACACACTGTTAAAAGAGACAGGAAACGGAAGGGACAGCACGTATGTACACATGACTGGGATGGCTGAAAATCATGTTTGCAGTTTACATCAGATCTAAGAAACAGGAACTTTTTGTTTTGGTTTTTTTTGAGACAGGGTTTCTCTGTGTGGCCTTGGCTGTCCTGAACTCACTTTGTAGACCAGGCTGGCCTCAAACTCAGAGCTCTCTGCCTCCTGAGTGCTGGGATTACAGGTGTGCACCACTGCGCCCAGCCAATAACTCATTCTTAATTCCAAATATAAACCTTAACTTGCAAGGAACTAACACAAGACAACCAGGAACTTATTGTTTTGACTGCAAGCAGAAACCTTAACCTGCAAGGTATGTTTGTCCTGTTTTGGTCTCACATATCAACTAACATTTGTTTTATAACCCTTTGCTTCAGTGTGTCCTCCGCTCCACATTCTCAGCACTCCTAAGGGCCCCTCTGGTTTGTAGTACTAGAACTGGCCCTAGCAGCGTGAACATTTTTTTATCTACTGAATCAGAGCATGCTCTGAAGGACTCGTTGCCAGGAGCTAAGATGACCCTAAGCACATCTGGACACCCAGTTAAAACATGGATTTCAGTAGACAAGAAAACACGGGCCAGGAGAGAACTGAGGCCATGGAGACAAGATCCTTTATCTCCTGGTTTGTGCTGCTGAGGTTCAGAGGGGAACAGAAGTGAACAAAGGAAAAGGGTTGTGTAAGCGCAGCCAGATGGTGCCATGGACACTTTTGAGCTGTACCTAGGGTCCACCAATGAATGTCCATTTACCGTTGCTTTTGGCTTACAGAACTGAGAGCTTAAGGGGAGAGAAAGCTGGAGACAGGGTTCGCCCAGCACCAAGCTGTGCTGGGTGTGCATGCACCTCACCCGAGCTGAGGTCCCCGTGGGGAAGGACGGGAGGCTGGAGGCTTAGGAGGGGTCGCTGGTGTGCACTGACAGGCCGCCCATGAACCGGAAGTGAGCACGGTGAGGAGTCTGGGTAGACTGTTGGGCTTGGGGCTTTATCAGAAACCCCGGGTTCCTTTCGTGGGAATGTGGGGGTGGCAGCATGTGTCACATGTGACTGTGGACCAAGTTTATGGTGAGTGGTTTAAAAATCATTAGGCAGAATCCATGGCCAAGGGTGACTGTGTCCTGCTAAGCATGTAAATCCCTGGAGCCTCTGTGCTGGGCTGCGTGTGATCTCAGTGTTAAGATGTGGTTTTATTCTAGTGAGACTTCTAGGAAAGATCCTTCTGTGCTTTCCCTGCAGGACGGAAGGATAGTAATTTGGAGAAGCCTATCGTCCCTCCAGAGCCCCCTGAACTGGTGCTCCCTGGTAGCATGGCCATAGGAGCTGTGTCACTAGCAGTTGCCAAAGCCAGTGCCAGCCTGGGCAACATTCCTCTGTACCTCAGCATCGCACTACTGAAGCACGGTCAGGTGAGCACTGCGTCCCAGTGTGGAGCTGGTGTGCCCCTGGGCTACATCTTCATTCTCCCCTGCTTTCCTGGCCTTCAGGAGCAGCGACCGACACTCACCATGCCTCTGCTGATGGGATCTGTACTCAGCTGCGGGAAGTCATCGCCCGGGAAGCTGAATCTCCTGAAGGAAGTGCTGTGTATCCCCAGTCCGGGACTAACAACCAAACAGGTCCCTGCTAGCAGCTAAGGCGCACCCTACCCACAATCCTCTCCATTATGAATTTTAGCGTAGATCAGGGAAGACGGTCCCGTTCGTCACTTCCAGCAATCACACGGTCTTATTTGTGTGGAAAAGCCAGCATCTGGGAGTTCCAAGAGCACTTTTTCTTACTGGCTGTAGCAGGCAGAAACTGTGTAGCCCAGGCCAGCAGGCAGCCCAGACCCATCAGGTGCTTGCTGTACACGCGTGATGCCTTCAGTGCCCCGAGGGTCGGTATGCCCCTTGGAGTCCCCTGTCAACCAGGTGTACGTGTCTCTGCTCAAGGTTCACAGTATGGGGAATGCTTTCAGAAAGCAGAGGGACCCCCCTCCTGCAGAAGGGAAATTATCCCAAGTCCGTGGAAGTAAGCTTTATAAGAGCTTCACTCACTTTGTGAAGAGTCCCCTTTAAACAAAACCATCAGTACCTCACAATTTACAGATTTCAGGTGACTAGAGTTTCTGTGTGACACTGGCTGCCAGGTTCTGCCACACTCAGACCCACTACAAGACTCCTCTGAGTTACCGTGTGCTGTGAGGGCCCAGGCCCTCCACACGCCTTCATCATCCTCACGTGCCCTACCATCACAGCAGCCTCCTCCTCTTCTGCCCTTTAAAGGCCTTATTTTATGTGTGTGGGTTGTGTCTGTGCGCTGAGTATGCAGTGCCTGAGGTGGCCAGAAGAGGGTGCTGGAGTCCCTGGAACTGGAATTACATTCTGATGTGGATGCTGGGAACTGCACCTGTGTCCCCTAGGACACCAAGCGCTCTTTCAGACCAGCCCTCCCTCCACCCCAGCTCTATTTCTCATGTGACTAAAGAAGTTAGCCAGTTTTCCCAGTGAAGATACCAAGGCAGAGCCTGCCACTCACACTCAGCCCAGCAGGGGGCACCACACCAGCCACTGGCTCTGCTCAGGGGGAAGTCCGTGAATAGCATAAGGGAGCTCGGGCAATCAGGCATGAGCTTCATATTTAACCCCGGACTGTGACTGTACATCGTGGCTGTTCTTCTTACAGGGTATAGAGCTGCTTCTGGAAATCCAGAAACAAGTCAGCAGAGCTATGGACGTGGTAGGTAGAGGGCTCATGGCAGTTACTGAACAACAGCTCGCAGGTCATTCTGGGATTTGATCAGCATTGCTGCTATTGCTGTGGACATGTGTTCCTTTGCTTTGGGCGCCCCATCCAAACCAAGGTGTCCTAGTTTGCTTTCCTGTTGCTACAGTAAACGCCATGACAAGAACAGGGAGGAGGTTTACTCAGCTTCCATGTCCAGGAAGGAATCAGCCCACCACTGAGGGAAGCCAGGGCAGAACCTCAGACAGGGACCTGGAGTAGGAACTGTGGGGTGGGCAGGAGAGGAAGGGATGCCTCTGCGTAGGTGGCTGGATACCAGGAAGGACAAGGATGAAGAAAATGAGGCTCACAGGTAGGAGGGGACTAGCTGTCCCAACAGGGGGTGCAAAAGGCACATTACAAAAGGCTTTAGGGAAGCAGCCTAGGGAGGGCACCCCCACTGGAGGCTGGGTCCTTGCATATCAATTGTCAGTTAAGGGAACGCCCCTGGAGGTGGGGGCGCACACCTGGGAGCCCAGCATTCTGGAGTCAGGCAGTGGCATCTGTGAGTTTGAGGCCAGCCTGGATAGGGAGCAAGTTCCAGGACAGCCAGGGCTACACAGTGAAACCCTGAGAGAGAGACAGAGACAAAGAGACAGAGAGAGAGCCTCACAGACATGGCCACAGACCAGTCTAATCTAGGCTGTTGTTCAGTTGAGGGTCCTCCTCTGAGGCAACTGGGTGTGAGTTAGGGTATCAGCTAAAGCTGCCTATGTCCACGGGCACACATTGTTCCTCGGCAGGGGAACTACCTTCCAAGGACATAGTGAAAGTCCCATTTTGGTTTCTGAGACAACTGTCTCTTTGCTGAGGTCATCCTTTAGGATTTACAGAGTATTTCATGACATTAGGCTCTCTCTAAAGGTCAATTCCAGCTTGATTTTACTGAGAATACTGGGCCTGTGAGAGCAAATCCCACAGCAGCAAGTAGTAGTTCCAAAGAGCAAGAGAGGATTTGGTGCCCTCCCGCACACACCAGGAGTTCCTGATGTGACCTGTGCTTTGACCAGAGTGTGCAAGGGAGTGAGGGAGAGGAGGGGGCGAACCAGAGGTGCGCTTGAGCTTGAGACACTGGGGCTTTAAGAACAGCGTTGCTGGACTGGTCCGTGTGTGTGCATTTGTGGCCCACTTGGTCCACCTGTGATGGGGGTGAAATGCCCACAGCTCAGCTTGCTGCCCCAGGGACGTCTAAAAACACTAAGTAGCATATTTTCCTTTATCGCCCATAGATCCTACCTCCAAAACCAGAGACCAAAAAAGGGCACGATGGCAAAAGAGGTCAGGTAGGCGCATGCTGCCCACCTCTGCTGTGGACAGCAGGGTTTTGCTTCTCTCCTCCTCCATGTTTTCTGCCAACACCAGGATCAAACGGGAAGAGCTGGGACGGAGCTGGGGCCTCAGTCTCCCCAGGGAGCCATCACCAGCTGAAGTCTTTAGGGCACAAGCCTTTAGCACTAGCAGGACTGTGTTTGACCCTACAGGAGAAAGACCTGGGACAGAGATTGTCTTTATAAATAACGTGGCATAGGGCCGTCTAGATAGTCACTGTGTCACTAGCAGAGGGAGAGAGAAAACTTTCTCCAAGAGAGAGTCGGGTCACTTTGTTCTCTGACCTCGAACTCATGGAGGTCAGAAAACAGCTCAGAGGAGGTGGCTCCGTCCTTCCACCGTGTAGCACTTGGGTGCCAGGCTTGGCGGTGTGTGCCACATTACCGCTAGCACGAATTTAAAGAAGTGTAACAGTGATGCTCACGCAGAGGAAAACAACATGGGAAAGCAGGGTTTGGGGACGAGGACTAACTGAGAGCTCTGTGGTTGCTTACAGGGATAGCCTGGTGGCTGTGGCTCTGGTGAGCCCAGCATACAGGGCCAGAGCCAGTCAGGTAGAGCAGAGGTGGGCCCTGAAGAAAGATGCCAGGTGGACAGTGTTGGGGAACCACAGGCGCAGACCAGGGATGGGTGAGGGTGAGTGCAGGAGGCACCGAATGTGGAAAGTGGAGGTCTTTGGAGACCCGTGTTCAGTCTCTCAGAGGGGCTCCAGGGATCTTACATGCTTCGGATGACTTACATCATTTTCCTTTGATTTTGCAGCCACCAATCACTGGCAAGATGTCTCACCTAGGCTGTTTAACCATCAACTATGACACCATAGAGCAGCCACTGCTGCTGCTTAGCGGAATCTGCTCAAACTTGGGACTGGAGTTGGGCGTGAGCCTGCACGTGGCCATCAACTGTGCTGGGCATGAGCTGATGGACTATGTGAGTTTCCCTCCAGAACAGCCACGTGTGTGCAGGACATGATTGTTTTTTGTTGTTTTGTTTTTTTGGTTTTTCAAGACAGGGTTTCTCTGGGTAGCCTTGGTTGTCCTGGACTCGCTTTGTAGACCAGCCTGGCCTCAAACACAGAGATCCACCTGTCTTTGTAATCTGTGGGATTTCAGGCGTGTGCCACTGTGACTGGCTTCAGGACATGATTTTTAAATTAGAATTTACCTGGATATTTTCTGAATGGTTGCCATCATGTGCATAAATAAACATGACCTTGAGAAGGCCAAATCAGGTAATATTAGAAAATAGTGTACTATTACTTTCTTAAAGTAACGTTAAAATATCATGATTATATAGAAAAATTCTGCAATCAAAATGGACACATAAAGATTTTTAAAAGTGAAAAAAATATAAAATCCTATCATTATGGGCTTCTTAGGAACCTGTTTAAATTGTATGATTTATCATGTAACCATGAAAGCTGTTGGGGAATAATTTGACAGTCTGGTATGCTTTATGAGTATAAATCATTTGGTTGAAAATGCTGAAAAGTCTCAAGCATGGAGACCCATACCTGAGGGTTTCACACACACACACACTAGGTGAGCATGACACCATTGAGCATGTTTACTTCACTAAACATGCCATTGTCCCCAGCCTGGGCCATCACCTGGCAATCATTTTAGCTGCATAAAGAAATACTTTATTAGGAGATGGGACCTGCCCCCCTCCACCCCCCAACGCCCCCCCCCGCCCCCCGGCACAGCGCTCACTATTGCTCCACCTGGGAATCCACTTCAAGAAATTCAAGAAATCTCGGCAGTTTCCTATTCTACATACTTGCACATACCTCCCGTTTTCAGAGGTGCCAATGCTGAGTCTCAGTTTTATAAAATGCCTGTCATATTCAGGCACACTGTGCCAACTTGGTAATTAATGTCGGGCTCAGGAGACAGGGCAAATAGGATTTCACTGAACTGTGATTGTATCACTACAAAGAAAATTTTTGAACAGTATAGAAGAACCCTAAGTTTTGGCTGATTTCTAGAAGTTATTTTACTTTCTAAAGAAACTAAGCACATAAAGAGATGTTTAAAGTAATTTCCTATTCTTCATGTAATGATTGGTTCCTAAGCAGACCATTAAGAAAAATAATTGCATGTTTTCATCAGCAACATGTACCCAGGACTATGAATATACTGGCTGCTAGTGCTAACTAGAAGGGGTATTTATTGCGTATACTCAGTAAAATGTATTAGCTTGATATCAGATAATTCTTACAATAATGCTGGTTCAGTCATTAGCATTTCTTCTCTGACAAGATAGGATTTTTAAGCTTCTCATTTCAGATGCTAAAACTTCTGCTTTTTAATTTGAAAAAGGTAGAAAATCCACTTAACTGTAGACTTGTTAAGACCCTGCTTAGTTCCAGTCTGGCTGTTTGCTGGAGCAGCAGGCAGGCACTGGGAAGCAGACTGTCCCCCTCCCCCCTCCCATCAGCATCCTTGGTGCCACCCATCACAAACTTGGAAGCTGCTTTGTCTTCCAGGATGGAGCTGGATCCTTCCCCACCACTTACTCTCACACTTTCTGCCAGGAGTCTTTGCAGGAACCAGACACATAGGCTTGCACCAGAACCCTCCCCTTCAGGGCAGTGTGTGGCTCTCCCTGCAAGTGATTGGCTACTTGGGAAAGGGACACCTTCCCGGGATTCTCATGTGGATACTAGCATGCAGAAGCTCTGCCCTGAATTCAGGTTAATATGTTCACAGAAGGGGAGGCACGAGGGTTGCTCCCTGCCGGCTGACCAATGGTGGGTTCTACAGTGGCGGGCTGTGTGGCTGTTTACATCTCTGTGTCACTGTCCACCTGCCCTGGTGTTGGGGGCCTGCACTACCTCATCAGAAACCTCCATAGCAAGCCATTCTCCTCCCACTCTGTGCCCGAGGGGTTCTGTGCAGACATCTGTGGGCGGAGTTGTCAGGGGGCATCAGGAGCAACATCGACTTGACTTACCCAGGTTCAAAACCACTTGAAGCTTAAAATGCAGTGCATAGATTGTGCAGCAGAGTGCACCTTGAAGAGAACTGGCTCACAGCACCTGGTGTGCAGCGGCTGGGCCTGGTGGCGTCTTCTGAGGACACACGCCTTCTCCTCACTGCCTTGCTTATCTCTCCAGAACAAAGGCAAGTACGAAGTGATGGTTGGCTCATACAAGAGCGCAGCGGAGATGCTGGAACTGTATTTGGATCTGCTCAACAAGTACCCGTACGTCATCGCCCTGATGGATCCCTTCAGGAAGGAGGTGAGCCCAACCTTTTCTGTCTTACAACATATTTCACATGTGGTAAAGCATGCAGTCTCACCTTCCCTATTTTATAACAAAGCAGAATAAGGACCCTATTCTTCGGGACCTGTTATTGGGAATGTGCTGTAATTTGGGCTGTGGCCGGGCTACTCTGTTTTGGCCTTTATGAAAAGGCGCTTACTAAGCAAATGAATAGCCGCAACACAATTACCCAGGAGCGTGCCTGTCTGTGCCATGAAGTCAGCCATTCGACAGCCCTCTAGGAGTACCTGAGTATTCACTAGCAGCCTGACTGATGGGAGCTGGCCCTGCTGTGCCAGCCAGGGCTTCGATAGCTTAATCATATATCATTTTCATGTGCTCATAGGAACAGGACTTTTATGAAGCCAGCTATTTCTCAGCCCTTTAAGGCCAGTTACCACGTCTGCCTAAAAGTAACAGCTATAGCTTTAGAAGGCTTGAGATCCTGAGGCTTTGCTGCATATTCAAATGAGTGCATCTATTAAGTGTCCTCTAAAGGCCACGTCCGAAATTGGAGCTCTTGGTCTTAGGACTCTGAGGACCATCTATATAGATATTCTCTCTGAGGCAACTAACTAGATTCCGGACAACAGGAAAGCTAGATCTGATCCAGCTGCTTCCCATCAACCCTTCCCCGGCCTCGGGGCCTTGTGACGACCACCTAAGACTGACCACGGCTCTGTCAAGGTGACAGGACCCACCCACACAGTCAGCAGATATGGGATGGCTTGAGATCTGGTCCAGTGGCCAGCAGAGCTCATGTTCGCCTAGGTGTATGCATGCACACAGGCACACACGCGCACACACACGCGCACACACATGCACACACAGTATTTCATGTCATACAGTGACCATCACTGATACAATAGAGATGGCCAAGGCTCTAACAAAGCCCTTTCCAGGTTTTTGTTTGTTTGTTTCCTAACTGAGGAACCTTCTAGCCAGCCAGCATTTACCCGCACTGGGGACAAATCAGGGGATAGTGATGGCTGGGCTCACAGGACTCCCACTCAATGTGGGCTAACACTCAGGCACTGATGCTTTTGGGTTTTGGTTTTTGTTTTTCTCCCCCAGGATCTTAAGGCTCAAATCAAATTACTTAAACTTCTCCCCACGAAGCTTCTAGAAGCTTCTAGTTTGTCTGAAAGTGGCATAGGGTCTCCAGGGCACGGATGTCAAGGAAAACATTTCAGTGTTTCAGAGTGAGTGTGCAACCTGTGTGTGTGCTGCTGGCCTGCTACTCTGCATTGCGGTGACCAGCCCCGCCTGTTCCCAGGACTCGGAGCAGTGGGACGCCCTGTACTCTGCTGCCACCTCCAGGTGCTACCTGATCACGGGCTCTGCTTCCAGAAGTGTGTCCAAAGTCCTAGAGGACAGGAACGTCACCCCCAGATCCCACGGGCTGATCATAAAGCACACAAACCAGACCACCATGATGGACTTGGTGGAGATAGTGCGTCTTCTTGACAGTGAGTGAGCCATTGATCCGAGCCCCATGATGGCTGGCTTATGTAAGGAGCCCAGCCCACACAGTCTGCCTACCTTGGTAAAAAGCCAGGATTAAATCTTGGAAGCAAAGGAAGTCCAGCCATTTGTGGGGGTGAGTGCAGCTCAGTGCCTGAAAGGCCCAGGGAAACAGCTTGTTATCCACAAAGCCCCACCATGGAGCAGAAGGGTAGGCAGATTGTGAGCCTGCCTCACCTGCTCGAGAACTTACTCAGCATCCGTGTTTGCTCATAGGTATGAGGGCCTGAGTTTAATTCCCAGAATCCATGTGAAAAGCCAAGTGCACGCATTATCCCGGGTGATGGAGTGATGGGAAGTGAGGATGGGAGGATCCTGGGCTGCTCAGTGATTTTCTAATGTGAGAACCTGCCTCCATAGATAGATGGATGATAGATTGATAGACAGACAGATGATAGACAGATAGATCAATTGATCGATCGATAGATAGGTCGAGTGGGGTGCTTCCTGAGGATCAAGACCTGAGTGTGCCCTCTGGCCTCCAAATGCATGTATGTATGTGCGCTCACCCAAATGCACACGTGTGCGTGTTTGTCCACACATGCATGCGCACCGCGTGGACACAGTTTAATGACAGGGCTGCTCTTCCCCATGCGGGCTGGGGAACGGCCCGCCCTGTGAGGGAGCTGCTCTGTCTCAACAGTTGAGCAAATTTTGGGAAGATCCCACTCAGGGGCAGCAGCTTTGCTGTCAGCAGAGACCTGGGGAGGGAGGGAGGCCCATTCCTAACCTGCATTTTGGCAAAGCCGCCTGGTGTCAGCAAGCATCCGGGCGCAGGCTGGTGCAGGATCCCACAACTGGAGCAGATGCTAAGTCAGAGCCAAGGGGTCACTGCGATGGATTTGGGGGACCAGGGGAGAGCTGCCACGTCATCCTTAGGGAGAACCTTCACAACAGAAGTCGTACACATCACCCTCTCCATTCTGAGAAACTGCTGCGGCCCAGAGAGGTCAGGTCTCCTGGCCCTCAGTCGCCTGGCCTGCTCATACCCGCTCATTTTCAGTTCCATGTTTGAAGGTCCAGCCACGCACTCTGACTTGCTGTTCTCCGACTTGCAGTCAGTCCTCCTCACCTCAGATGAACTGCATGTGGTGTTCACACTGTCCCTGCCCCGCCTAATGATGCGACTCTGAGCTTTCCTCACAGCCGCCTGTTCCCTCCATGTGCTGATGTGTATGGAGACGGTGCAGCCACAGGCCGACACCCCCAGTGCAGTGTAAATGCAGGGAGTTGTAGCTGTCCTGCACACTTATGCACAGTTCTGACCAGGGTACCACCATCAGGAGTATAAGCTAGACATAAGGCCAGTCTCAGACAGAAGCAGGGTTCAGAGCTGGCCTGGGGGCTGGGGCTGGTGCCAGCGAGCACAACTGGGATGCTTCCTGCCTGGCCTGCTCTCCCAGGCTGGCTGCTCACTGGCTCCGGCCTGGAAAACACAAACACTGTCACTATAGAACTCTGCCTGTGTAGACCCTGGCAAGCCTCAAGGGGGTTGAGACCCCCAAATGTACAAATACCAGCAACTCTGAGTTACCCAGAAAAACGTTGCTGTGAGTCCATTTCTCCAGGAGAAGGTGGGACGGTCGCTGTGCCCGGTGCGGGCCCCACACCTGATGCCCTTGTAGCTCGTCCGTCACATCAGACAGCAACAAGCTGAATGTTCGCTGTAGCTGTGCTCCTGAAAAGGCGATCTGCCCCGAGTGTCCTCTCCTGGCCTTTTAGTAGTGAGGACGCTGTACACTGTAATCTTACACGTAATGGCATGCACCTCTGTGGTTTTGCATGCACATTCTCGTGAGTGTAGGAGCACATGTTTCTGTGGGGGTCAGAGGTCAGCCTTGGGCACTGGGCCTCTCCTGCTGCCCTATCTGACACATCTTTTGTGACAGACCCACTGCAGAGGCCGGGCTGGCTATTCTGAGAGCTGCAGGGTGGCCCTGTCTCCTCTCCCTGTGGAAGCTCTGGGGTCACAGGTGTCATCGCATGCAGGGGGCCTGGGGGTTCAAGCGAGGCCTCAAGCCTCTGCAGCATCCCCTGCCCCCGATTTTAAAAGCACATATGGTACTGAAAAAGAGCTAAGCAGATAAAGCCAGAGGAATAAGATTGCGTGCTCGCGTGCTCAGCTGCCCGTGCCCAGCAGCGCCCAGCTCCGAGCAGGCCCTGGTGGGCCGCACATGACTGACAGGAGCCGCTCCCACAGGTAAGAAGCATCTCGCTGTCTTTGGAAGCACGGATGCAGAGGCCTCTGATGACAGCCTTGTCGATTTGGTAAGTGCAGAGCGACGGTCAACTGCAGAATTGCCAAAACACCGCTTTTATGATGAATTGGTATTTCAGGGAAATGCAGTCTTTGGTGGAGAAAGTCGAGTAACCTTTTATGAAATAGACTTGCTTCCTCCCAGACAGCTCCCTTTTGCAAAGTACTAATCTTTGAACTTTTTAAAAGAGGCAAAATTGAAGTCCAGGGAAAATGCCGGGCACAATCAAATGACTGGGGTGTACACTTGCAATCTTCCCTCCTAAAACGGGGTGCGAAAGGCCAGGCCGTGCTCCCATGAAACCGGTGCCTGATGGAGGCTGAGCCACGCCATCTGCCTGCCTTCGGGCTCAGCCGCCAGCAGGCCACTTTACTTCCCTAGAGGCGAAGAGAAGCCCCCTCAGCTCCCTCAGCAGTTCCCGTTCTCATTAAAGGTCCGCTCCAAACAGAAATGCTCCCGTTTAAAGTACGCTTTCCCCCACTGCAGGCTGTTGGACTCGGTGCCCGGTTTATCAAGTTGGGGGGTCTCTCTCGGGGTGAACGGGTGACCAAATACAACCGCCTTCTCGCCATAGAGGAAGAGCTCATCCAGAGCGGAACTTGGGGTACGTGCTGCTTTCTTGCTTTGTTTTCACTTAGCCCTGAACAAGGGAACAAAGATGGGAAGGGAGGGAATGAAGTCCCTCGGCAGGAGGGCGGGACAATCCGAAGGCTAGAAATCAGCGCTGACAAGAGCAGGGTGGCACTTGCCACAATGTCCATTGTTGGCTTAATGGATTATCTGTTTACCTGAATGCAAGGCTCTCGCCACCTTCTCCCTGATGGATGGACTGCCTGGAGCTGCTCAATAGAATTAATTGATTGGAGTCTCCAAGCCTGTCTTTTGTTAGGGCCCAAATTATACTTAGGGTTTCTCTGCACAGCCCCTGGACGTTAAAGACAGATGTGCTCCTTCTGGAAGTAACTTGGTTTACTTCAAACAGCCTGGCAGTGTGCCGCTTGCAACGTGTCACCACAGAGAGGCTAAAGCCCCGAAGAGAGGAGCCCACAGCTTATGCAGCTCAAACTTTGTAAATCTACGTGGGAGCTTCTTATGTGCCCACTGAAGAGAAGCTTACTAAATACTCACCTTTACTTTTCAAAATTACCCATTGGCCCAAAGGTGACCTTTACAAGCAGGGAGATAAGAAGAGACTAATAAAATTGTGATTAAAAAAAAAAAAAAAGGTGTCATAAGGCTACACAGAGAAAAGCTATCAGAACAACAACAAAAAGCGTCATGTTTAACTAAAAATGGAGACTTCAAATACACCGTAAGATTCCAGAGAAATAAAGGTGTAATTAGAAGATGGTTTCAGAGTTGTGTAAAGGCAGTCCAGAGTTAGGCTGTGTTGTTTACTGTATGATGCAATGGCTTGTCCGTGCCCCTTCCCCGCAGGCCAAATCATATTGTTCTAAATATTATCTCATCTTTTGTCATTCTGACTTCAAAGACCTCTCTGACTTCCAGTTTCCAAGAAAGTCAGCTGCTTTGGAACAGCCAAAAGAACCCTGGGAGGCCAGAGAGAGCCACCCCTTATTAGGTGCTAGCCCAGTGCATCTGGCATTCTGGAATGGATTAAGCTATTAGTGAAAATTTCTCTAAAGCTCCTAGATAAACACAAAGGGCACCCCAAATTAGCAAAACAAATAGCTCCACTCCTGCTCTTGAGGAGGCAATGTTGGCAAGATGTCAGCCATTGAATTATGGTCGTTATCATGCGTGGTTCTGCCTGCCTTTAGTACTGTATACCAGCTGCCCCCAAATGTCACAGAAGCTGTACCACAAGCAGAACGGGCCGGTGCCAGGCTCTTCTAGGAGATCTGGAACCTGTCTGGATGGGTCTAACAATCTTCAGCACCACTGGTCAAGATGGAAAACTTTACTTTGTTTTGTTTTGTTTTTAAATAGGTTTCAGAGGAGAACACACTTTTTCTTCCTTTCAAGAGGATGCTGAAAAGACAGCAGAGGCTACTGCTGCTGCTGAAGCTCTCGAGCCCCTGGACTCCATGTTTCCCACAGGGGTTACGAAGGAATAGTTAAAACATGAGCCTGGAGGGGCTGGGCCCTCAGGGCGTGGCCACACCACAAGTGTTGGCTGGCTGGTGAGAAGTGTGTCTGCAAGCTGGCACTACTGCTTTTTGTTCTTCCCATTTCACTGTCGGGTAAATGCATGTATCTGCTGGTCCTGCCGGGAGTTCTGGGGGCTTTGTCTTCTGCAATCCTGTAGGACAGTGGCTCCACTGTCTCCTCCTCAGGGTCCTGGCCTAACACCCACGCTCAGCCACGCACCGTGCCCCTCTAGAACCAAGACTGTTCCCCTGAGCAGCTCCCATTGCCACGGTGACTCTTTCTCCTGGACCTCTGTCCAACAACAGATGCTTTCGTAGCTGCCACGGAGCACCACGGGCTGCCCTCATCTGTAGCAACACCCTCTTTCACTTCCTACACGCACTGACCTTTCAACCATTCTTCCTCTTACGTCATTCTTATACTATCTTCTCTTTAGATCCCTTATGGAACAAAAATGGGTGCAATAAACACACTTGTGAATGAATACTCTTGCCGTCACTCGGTGCCCTCTTAGCCCACAGCATGAAGATGCATGTGGCTCAGAACGTGACACACCCTGCTCCTCTCCTGTGAGCCAGCACGTGGCTTTTAGCAGACAGTAAACACTCAAGCAGGGAGGAAAGGCGAGCCTGGCAGGACCAGGGGCCACCTGTGGGGCGCAGCGGAGAAGCCTGCAGCACAAGTATTTTGGTTGGGGCTTAGTCTGTTTGAAGAGAATGACCAAGGGAGACCCTCGCATGGGGAGCTGGTTAGTGTCACTCCAAGCCTGGGAAAATGTGTCACAGTCTGTGGGATCCACTGTCTCCCCAGACACTTCACAGCAAACAGTGGGGCAGAGGAACTTGAGCAGCAAATCCATTTTAAAGGCAGGACGGCTGAGACAAGGAAGTTCCCCTGGCCTTAGTGGTTTTCTTCTCATACAAGCGATGGGAGCATGTTTGGGGATGGGTTCAAGTTCTCATCAGTAAAACTAGAGCAAAAGAACTGACCAGATCAGCAGCTTGGGCAGCCCAGGGAGCTCTGCACACCAGCCTCAGTGAGGAGTGCGTTCACCAACGGCTGAGGGACGTCCTTAAAGGGCTTTGTTATTATTTGTGCATCCTCATATTCATGCTCTCTCCCTCCCTCCCCTCCCTTCCCCCCACCTTCCTTTGCTTATAGAACACATCATGTTACCTATAAGGACATGAGAGGAATTAATCATAGCCTACATTAAAAATGTCCGTGGGGTGGGAAAACCTGAGATGGAAATGAGGCCACTCATCCCAGGGCTGTGGAGCAGGCAAATGGCCCTCCGCCCTCCACCACTGCTCAGGGTGTTCTCTGCGGGAAGGGACTCAGCACAGTGGGCCAAAGCAGGGTGAGCGTGACACCAGCTGTCACTAGCCGGACAGGCAGCCTGGTCTGGAAATCATGTTTGCCCTCCCTCATGCAACAATCCTTTTACTGTTCATGACAGTGAGGAAGGAGTTGCCGGGCGGAGCTGTTGAGCTTCCCCACTCTCACTCAGACCACGCCCGTGTGGGTGCTGGCAGCCCCGGCGGCTCCCGGCAAGTGACACCCTGGAGCTGGAAAATGGCTAAGGACTATGATGGGAGTGAGTGTGGGACTTGCTACCATGCAAAGGTGCGAGCATGTTAGTGAAGTTCTCACTCTCCCAGAATGGAGGAGCTGCATCTTCCTCCGAGTGTCCCGAGGGTAAGGCTCTGTCAGAACTGCAGAGAGCTACAGTGGAGAGACCGCATCCATACCTTCCAAACAACAAACGTCCTGCTGGAGAAAGGAGAAACATGGCTCCCCCAGTCTAAGGCCACGAGAGCTGAGTGCACAGAGGCAGCCTTTCCGTGCACACCACCAGGACCTCACTTGAAGAGAACATGTTACCTGCTTTGACAAGAGTCGCCTTTACAAAGGGCAGAGCCTTAACACTGGGGTGAAAAAAGGAAAAACTAGGGAAAATGTGAGCTAAAGTCTGCATTAGATACCTCTAGATCACAGTCCTTTGCAAAGCTTTGTGGCCACTGGAAAGGAAAGCACATTTTCACATGTCTGTCCAGAATAGCAGGTTCAGAGGGATCCTGCTCCAGCCAGCATAGCCCACCTGACGTTAACTTCCACCTTTGGCCCATGGTGCTGTCAGTGTGTGTGACGAAATGACATGGAAGGTGCTACGCCTGTTTTCATAGGTCTAGAAGTGTGTTCTAGCATGGACGAGAGCTGCTCCCACGGGCCTGCTCACTGCTCCCATGCGCCCACTCACACTGCTCTTCTCCTGAGGACTGGCTGAGCCTGCAGTGGGAAGGAAGCTCGGGAAGGAAGCTAGCCTGAGGTTTAGGAAACAGAATTCTGTGCCCATCACTGGAAAAAATAATGAAGAAATAAGGCATCCCCCAAGGCTGGAGAAATTCAACATGTCAGTAACCACAAGCGACCCTTAATAAGAAACTGTTGCGTGTCTCTTTTAATATGTTGTGTTGAGAGTTCAAATCACAGTATAAACAGAACCATCCAAATTAATCCACTTGCAGTTAGCATGGCATCGGCAGTATTATTCAGTGAGGGAGACGCACGGTTAAAAAAAAGATCACGCTTTAATTTCCCGAGAGTAAGCTGACAGGGAACTCTAAAATCAGCACTGAAGGACATGAAAATAGTCAAGCCCATGAACCCAGAGAACTGTCTCCCGGCCTCAGGAGTGCTCCCGCCTGCCTCCCACCTGCCTCCCGCCTCCCCTCGCCCACGCTACAGCACGCGCACATGCACTAGGACACAACTACTGCAATTGTTACTATCATTTTCTTTCGCCTTCAGGTGTGAAGCACCTGACAGCTACATGCTGAGTCATGCTAGCAAAACTAAGCCTTTCACTTCTTTAATAGTAAATTACCATTACCGAGTCATCATCACAGAAAGAGCACTCAAGCACCACTTACTTTAAATAAACACCAATTTTGAAACAATCAACTTTCAAAACCTGCATAAGTTTTTTTAAATCCCTGATTACATTTCTGTTTATTCACTGTGGGAGTCTGAAACACTGTATTTTTAGAAACTTCCACTTAATTTCCTCTAAAAAACAAAACAAAACAAAACAAAAGGACCCTCGTGATAGAGAACGGCAGTGAAGTGAAAGAAAAGGTGTGTGCTTGTCGCTTATCTTCACTATGCATAAGAGCTGGGTAAATGTGGCACTTGTGCCAAGCGGATGTGTGGGAAACAGTTACCTCGTGGGACAGAAAATGTGGGTTTACCAAGGCGTCCTTGTCGGTTCTTTGTTTAGCCACCAGACAGCATCCTCTGCGAGCCTTGGACCCGGGGTCACTTATCCCACACTAGTCAGCTGTGCCCTGCTCAGACCTGAGCCACTGCCCAAGATGGAGACACTCCGACTTCCAGACTCTGTGGTTCCCCCTCAGAAGACCGGGCCAGACACAAGCCCTTTGGGGGACCTTTGTTTATATGGGGCCTTGTGACCCAAGCTAACGTCCAGGCACGAGCTCCTCCTACCTCAGTCTCCCTCTATGTTACGGCTGCTCGTAGACAGCTTGGGTTAAATGGTGCCTTTAAGAGTGTTTTAGGCTTGGTGGTCTCTGTTGAGGTACCAGCAACCACCTTGAATTTTCTACATTTCAAATTTCAGCTAAATCTGGTGAGTGGTGTGCACAGTCCCTACAAAGACAATCTGAGGCTTCTGTCACCTCAAGGAAGTCATACTTCATATGGAGCGAGAGAGAATTCCTAACCCTACAGAGATCAAAGACTACCCAGAAGATGTATTCTGCTAAACAGCTTATGTTTATAGTTGCTACTTACAAAGTGAAGCCAGCAAAGAGGTGTGTGGCCAGAACAAAGGCATGCCCAACAGCTGGATGGGACACGGGGACTGTGCTTACTCAGAAGGGCTCGCAGACATGCGGCCTCCAGTTTCGGATCAGCAGTGAGAACTGTCTGCCTCTCCCGTCCTTCCACTGCTGTCTTCTTTGTATGCTGGTTGCATTTCGCCTCCATCCTCCACGCACTGAGTCGGGTCTTTTTCAGCAGCCTGGTCTTTGGTTTGGGGTTCATGTGTGGAAACAGGGTCTAAAACTACAACAGGCTCAGCTTGCTTCTCACTGCCCACACATTTTCTCCTGTTTTCGCCTTTACTGGGAGGCCTGTGAGAAGATAGTTAAATAGAAAAGTAACTAAGCAGAAGACAGAAAACACTTGACTCCCAGATTTCTGAATTCAGAAAAATAATAAAATAGTTCTAAGTCTAACCAATATGCACAGCGTAGTCTTTGAGATGGCAGCCATTAAAAAAAAAAGCAGCAGTAGCAGCAATAGAAGCAGACGGCCCAAAGAGATGGCAGAAAGAGTCAAAGCGATTAACTACGGAAGTAGTAAGGAGCCCTGTGCACCTGCCTGCTTAACCGCTTACTCCCCTCAGAAGTCACAGCCCCTGACTCACTGTGCATTCCCAAACGCCGCCCTCGCTCAGCCAGGAGGGGTGGGCCAGGCCCCCACCCTCTCTTGCCCCCAATACAGCCGTTTGCAGCTTGGCTCTGAAGGGGCTTCACGGAGAGGATTGGGATCACCCTGGCTCGATGGTGACAGAGGAGAGTGGCCACCACCTGTGCCCCCCTAGGAGGGAGACCTGACCTCAGAAGGTAGGTGGGGACAAGGGCTGATGGGAGAGCTCAGAGGGCATGCCCCGGCACCAGGTGACGAGAAACTGCCCTAGCCGGGAGAACATGGCTCTTGAGAAGTCTCAGAATTTTCTTTTCCTCAGAAGTTGGCTCCCTTCTGACGCAAGAAGCTCTGGTGTTTCATGCCAGGCAGACGACAGTTTCCCTGTGGGAGCAGAGGCATCCCTTAGACATACCCTTCTGCCATGTGTCAGACTGTGGGCCCTGAGTCCTCTCAGAGGTCATGGTTGGCACCTGCCCTGGGAAGGTCCAGTTGCTGAGTCTGCCTAGGGGGCAACGGGCAGGGCCAGGGCTCTCTAGACTCTCCAGGATGAGACTTTCAGAGCCACCAATAGCCATGAGCCAGACACTGCAGGCCCAGCTGTCATGTAAGCAAGAGCTGCTCCTCAATCCGCTTGCTGCCTGGCCGTCAGGCCTTTCCTCGGGCCCATGAGCAGGTCAGATGGCCCAGGCTGCAAGTCTCCTCGACTGCACTTACCACAGGTGCAGGTTCTTCTGGTAGCGTGGGGCAGGGACTTTCAGCACATCTAAGACTGTCCCCTGCACCTACTTCAATCATGTGCAGGGTCAACAAATGGACAGATAAGTAAGAGCAAGCTAGAGAAGGCTTTGTCCAGAGCTTTGGGAGGGCAGAGCTAGAGTCTGTTCTACTCGAGGAAACAGATCAAGCCCTGGTTATGGAAGGGGGCCTGCTCTCGGGGCACGAAGGCCTGAGCCCCCGAACTGCATTCATTACTGCTAGCTCCACCCAATGCCTGCAGGTTGTCCCCCGCTGTTAGGTCCCCGCTGAAACATGATTCGGCCATCACGAGTGACTACACAGCATCAGCTCCCGCAGGAGTGGCGGAAGGCAGGCGGTCCTCGGGAATGGAGAGGACATAGACCATGATGGCCAAGGAGCACTTCTCAGACCACCTGCTGGGCCCTGCACATGGCGGGCAGTGGTTTCCTTGGTGGCACCTCTCTTGGCTTTCTCCGGTCCTTGCAACAGCCTATAGTTTATCGTCACAAACTCAGAGTCTCCTAAGAGAGCCATTCCAGGAGTGAGAGAGACTCTCGGGCAGGGCTCGGGGCGGCATCTCTGTGCATGAGCGTTCTCTGGCAGCTGAAAGGTAAGGCGGCGGCCACTGGCAGAGGCCGAGGACCACCCGGAGAGGAACCGTCCTCCGACAAGGCCAGTCAGGCTGATGCAGGCCCTGCAGGCCGAGGCCCCACATGGAGCTGTCCATGCACCTGAGCCGGGAGGGGCAAGCAGGAGGAGAAGCGGGGAAACCGCAGAACTGACTGGTAGGCAGGCCCGCTGCTGCCACCCACCCACCAGGTGGGGCAGTGCACCCTAGACAAGCCGAGCCAGAGCCTGCTCCACATGAACCTTCCCGGGCGCAGACCCTTTCTTTAAAGATTACCATCTCCCTTATTTCTCTCGTGGCCAACTGGACACTGGAAACAAACCCGTGGGGACTCCAGGGGTCAGAGCTGCAGCGTAGCTTAGCTTTAGGCGCCAGCCACACAGAAGCCCGCAGGTGAGGTCCGGGCGGCTTCACCAGCTTTTCCTGAGAGCCCACTGCTGTCAGCCAGCCAGTTTGCTAGAAGCATGCAAAGGTGTGGCCCTTTTGCCATGTGGAGTGAGCAACTGCCATCAGTCCATACCAACCTCCATGGCTCCCGTGAACTACCGTGAGTCTTTCCGTGCCCTGTGTATCTGCGAAGGATGGTCAACGCATTCTAACAAAAGCTGTCTTCATCAGCGGGGAGTTAGATCTCCAGGAACTGCTCTCAGCGCCCTGTGGTAGTGACACAGCCTGAGCTGGGAACTTAGACACCCCCGCCTGCTCATCCGTCCTCACGCAAGCTCTGCATCTCTGGAGCACAATGAAAGCTCACTGGTGGGCCAGCCCAGGAGTGTCACTGCCGCCTTCCACAGCGGGTGCGAGGCATGGTGGCCCTGCCTTGGAACCCCAGGACAAGGCAGAAGGGGATGGCCATCCATCCAAAGTGCTTTTTCCAGATGGAGACAGTGCTGTGTGCAGACGGGGAGAGCTGGCCGAAGGGCACCCTGCCTGTGAGCAGAAGGGCCAGTGTAGGGGTCTGAATGGCCTGTTCAGCACGGCACAGCTTTCCATATGGCGCTGTTGCCATGGGCCAACCTGTGACAGATTTATTCCCTTGTCTCCATCCACAGCTTTCAGATCAGCAAGGACAGGGCTCAGCCCTCAAGCTTTCAGGTCTGATATCACTAGGCCCTTCCCCAGCTCCTTCTGGAATGAGAGGCCACCTCAGTCTACTTTCCACCCCGCACCCGTGACACCACAGGATCTAGAATCTCCAGAGACTAGCTTCTGAGCATGCCCGTGAGAAATGATTTAGAAGAGGTTAATTGACTTGGGAGGGCCTGCCCTGAACATGGCGCCACCCCTGGCTTACGTCCTGGCTGGAGGAGAAGGACTGACCGGCAGCAGCGTCCTTTGTCCCCTGCCTCCTGTGTGACGCAATGTGCCCACTGCCTCGACTGTGTCTTCCCCGCCACGATGGACTAACTGCACCATGACACTGTCAGCCAGAATGAACCCTTCCTCCCTTAAGGTGCTTTGGTCAGAGTATTTAATCAGCAACAGAAAAAGCAACCAACACAGTCCCATCCCCTGTCTTTCAGGGACAGGCTGAGAATACAGGCTGCTCCCTTGGCTTCCATGCCTTGGGAGCCATGGGGACATGGGCTGGGGGCTTGAACCCAATGCTCTTCTCCAACAAACCCCAGAGGCTCATGCAACAGGGCCACAGGGGCCAAGCTCTGCTGTGCCTCCATCCACCTTCTGCTTTGACGCAGCATCTAAGGACGGTGGCCACAAATAAGGAAATAAAGTCCAGATTCATGGAGAATTGTGTAGCCTTTTCCTGAGGCAGCAGAATCTGAAAAGCAAAACTAATAAGCCTCGGGGGTGAGGACTGAGTGGGTGTGCCCCTCCCTGTCAGATGCAGGCTCCAGGCTAGCAAGAGAAACAAGCCATCTACCAGCCAAGAGCTCATATCAGCACTCTCGGGGCCCTGCAGAGTCCTACCAGGATTTCTCTTCTTTTCAACATACTTGTAGATGCTCTGTGGTCCCTTCAGGCTTTATACATGGACCATTCCGGATCATGGGCTCAACAGTTGTTTCAGGACAAAACCAAACCAAACCAAACCAACAACAAAAACCAGCAATCTAATTAAAAGCTGGGATTCAAGATCTTGGTCTGCAATTCTATCATGAGTGACAGCTACTGTCCTCCAAGGGCAGGCGAGCCAGAACAAGGGGCTCTGGCAAGAGGCCCCCCCGTGCTGGTGAAAGGAAAGAACTGACTCCGAACTCTGGTAGTGCAAGGGAAATCAGAATGGTTACAAACAGTTTCGCCAAAGCTGAACTCGGTGAAGGGATTCAGTGATTTCTCAGACAGTGTCACAGGAGACAGAAGAGAAGCAATTCTGTGAACCCCCCAAAACCCGTCATTGTTTGCATTCAATGAAATTCCTTTCAAAATCAACTTTCCACATCCCAATTATATTCAACAACATTCTAGCTAACATTTCGGCTGCAATTCAAATTAACTAATGCCCCAAAGAGCCCCTAATCGACACGGTTCTGAACGCAATTGAATACAATCAAAGCTCAGAAAATGAAGGGGGGATGCTTATTTCATGCAAATTCAGAATATCGCTCAAGCTTAATTTTACTGATAATATAAAGGTGGGACATTTTGAACATTACAGTGAATGAAACCTTTAAGCGGCGAGAGTTATTTTATAAAATGCTACCTCTGAAAAGCTGATTGCCAAACAGTATAAAAACGGTTTGAAGCATAAATGCCAAGTTCATTTCTATTTCACTTCTGAGGTAACTATCTTTCAAATCGCAACAGCTGGACTATTTAACACAATCTGGTCTGGTGAATCACAGTGCAGCGCTTCCCTGCTCGCCCAGCGGGACATCTGCATTAGCCCGTGGCAGCCGTCCAACAAATGACGCGCAGCGGCCTGAACTCTGGTTCATTTACAATGAAAACGGAGAAAACCACAATCGTATTTACCACCTTCAAGGATGGAAAATGGAAAGACTAAAATTTGTCTTTATAAAGTAGTTTTCTGGGAAAACTCCAAAGAGGAACTGAGTTTCTATTTCCCTAGTGTAAAAATAAGTCTCGCCTCCCCCTCCCATGGCCGCAGTTAGCAGAGCAGTGAAGGAAGTGCGTTCCTGAGCCAGTGCTCACTGCTTCTTTCAGAAACTCTTGGTTTTTCAGAGCTTTTCATCCACCAGTCCAAAACTTGAAAAACAATACATTCCAAACACAAGCTGAGAATTTCTCATCACTACCAAGTCTCACACTTGTGTAAGTGCAGGCAGAACAAAGCTCAGTATTCTGGGCTTTGTAGACTTTTTAAAAACTGTATTTTATCCCAAGGACTATGTCTGTCCGTCAGTCTGACTCTGC